TATTATCCTATGTACATGTATGATTGCACAAACAGTGTGACTCTGCATCGTGTACAACCAGATAAATGAGAATTTGTGCTCCATTTGTGTACAATGAGTTGAAATGCATTCTGCTATCATGCATAACTAATTAGAACAAATTTTTAAAAAAAACCTGACAGCCAAAGTTACTACACCCAGCAAAAGTCAATTTTAAATTCAAGGAGGAAATAACTTTCTTCAACAAGAATAAATTTAAAAAATTCATGAGGACCATATCAGCATTAAAAGGATACTCAAAGATAAATTGTATACAGAGGAACTAAAAAATAATTCCCAAAGTCCACAAAGACGTTCAATAGAAGAATAATTCAGTAAATGAGAATCAAGACAGGATAAAATATAGCAAAAAAATAAATGGAGAAAAACACAAACATATGCATTCTAACACTGAATGTTAATGGTCTCAATTCTCCAATTAAAAGACACAGATTAACAGAATGGATCACAAAACAAGATCTGACTATATGCTGTTTACAAGAGACTCATAGGCAAAGACATTGACGTGCTGAAGAAGGTAAAAAGCGAGTAGAAAAACTATTCCAGGCATCTGGTCCAACAAATCAAGGAGTAGTAGCTATTCTCATATCAAACAAAGCAGATTTCAAGCAAAAATTAATCAGAAGAGAGAAAGGCCACTATGTCCTAGTAAAGGGAAATCCAATAAGAAGATATAACCATAGTAAACATTTATGCCTCAAATGTCAACAAACCCAATTACATGAAAAAATATTCCATGACATTAAATTCCACATAGACCCCGACACAATAATACTGGGGAATTTCTATACACTCTTATCACAAAAAGACATCTCATCAAAACAAAAAAAAATCAATAAATATATTTCCAACCTAAACACTATAAATCAAATGGACCTAATAGACATCTTCAGAATATTCCACCCCAAAACTGCTTAATTTACCTTTTTTTCAGCTGTACATGGGACATTTTCCAAAATATATCATACTCTAGGCCACAAAGCAAATCTTAGCAAATATAAAAAATTGATCTAATCCCATGTATCCTATCACATCATAATGTAATGAAGCTAGAAATCAACAGCAAGACAAATAATAGAAACTATACAAACACATGGAGATTAAACAAAATTTTCTTAAATGAAGAATGGATCTAAGAAATGAGAATAGAAATCAAGAAATTCTTAGAGACAAACACAAAAATCTCTGGAACAGCATGAAAACTGTCCTAAGAGAATTCATAGACACTACTGAGTGTCTACATTAAAAAATTTGCAAGAGTCCAAGTAAATAAGCTTATGTTCCACCTTAAGGTCTTAGAAAAAGAACAACTGGGGCTGGGATTGTGGCTCAGTGGTAGACCGCTCGCCTAGCACGTGGAAGACCGCTCACCTAGCATGCGGAAGACCCTGGATTCGATCCTCAGCACCATAGAAAAATAAATAAATAAAATAAAGGTATTTTGTCCATCTACAACTAAAAAATAAATATTTTTTTAAAAATAAAGAAAAAGAAAAAGAACAAACCAACCCCCAAACCAGAAGACAAGAAATAATTAGGATCAGAGCCAAAAATCAATGAAATTGAGAATAATACAAATGATCAATGTAACAGTTAGTTCTTTGAAAAAAATAAAATTGACAAGCCTTTAGCCAAACTAACCAAAAGAAAGAGTAAGAAGCAAATAATAGGATCAAGGATGAAAATGGACCTATCACTGCAGAACCCTCTGAAATCCAGAGAATTATCAGAATCTATTTTGAAAATGGATGAAAATGGAGTATAATGTCATGCTAAGTGAAATAAGCCAAACTTAGAAGCTTAAAGGTCAAATGTTTTATCTCATATGCAGAAGCTAGAGTAAAATAAAGGAAAAGGGAAGGGAAGGATAAAATGATACAAAATAACAGATGAGAGAAAAGAAGTCTACTAGAGTAGAGTAAGGAGAATGAAAGGGGAGGGAGGACAGGAGGGAAAAGTGGGAGGGTCATGAATCAAAATTGATTTCTATGCATGTATGAATTTGTCAGGATGAATCCATCTATTATATATAACCATAAAACTCTAATTTAAAAAAAACATCAAATTTTAAGAAATAATGTATGATTCATTTATGACAAATGCTAATCAGAAGACATATTTTTCCTATAACATTAAGTGATTTAAATGAAAATAAGTTGTAAAAGAAACACTACTTATGTTATCACTTTTTTGGAAGTGAAATAACCATTCTTTAAGAAAGTGCCTCAACTCATCCAGGAAGAGCTCTTGAAAGTCACAGTGGTCTTTTTGGAGACCACCCCAAAAATAGTAACACATTTAATTTTATCAAATAAGATTTGAAGAATTTTATTAGCAGAAAATGACTAAATTATAAATACACAATATGAATGTCCCAAGGAGTTTGTTTGCTTTGGTCACTATATGCTGTTTACATATTCCCAGTGTTAAGAAGAGTGCCTAGTATATAGTGGTAACATGGCTTCCTGGCTGCTAACCTGCAAAGCCGTCCTACTTGTCCCTGCCAAGAAGTGGCAGCAGAGCAGGAAAGTGGAGTGGCAGCCCAGGTTGGTTGGAGTGTGGGTGGCAAGCACAGCCTGTAGCTACATGGAGCCCACCGTGCAAGCATGATGGTCCTAAGGTGCTGAAAGCCGAGGCACACCAACCTGTCATGCTTTGGCAGACAGGCCTGGGCATGGTTCAGACACCTGCTGCCAGAAGCCCACTCCACACGGTACTGCAGCCTCAAATCTACAAGCATAGATCATCCCACAACTTTAACTTCCTCCATCCTAACGTCCAGCGAGAAAATGGAAGTGGGGCAAACCTGAATGGAATTTGGGACTTGAGAGTTTCTAATTAGCATAAGTTTGGATCAATAGTAGTGATCTAAGTGTTATATAAACCTCTAGACTAGCACATTCAGATGGAGAAAACCTGCTATTTGGTCCCCTCTTGCACTACAAGAGTTCTGTTCCTATTTCTATTCTTCACTAAATCCTACTCTTACACTCACTCATCCTGGTCTGTGGATTTCATTCTTCAAATTCATGAGACAAGAACCCAGAAAGAAGAAACTAATGGTGAGCTGCTGGGGTCTGCTGAAACACTGGAGAGCATAACCCACCATTAATAGCTGCAATATTTTTCCACTGCAGAGGCCTGCAACCTTACACAGACCCCACCCGCCATCAGAAGGATTCGAGTTTCATCTTAAAAATTCGGTTTCAGTGGATACTCAATGAATATTTGTGAAATGAATTAAGCATTATCTACAAAAACACAAACTACAACAATCAAACTAAGTACAGTTGAGTACTTCCCAGTTTGTTTTTATTAATATACATTTGCAGGATAAGAATATGGCTCAGTGGTAGAGCACTTGCCTAGCATGTGTGAGGCCCTAGGTTCAATCCCCAGTTCTAATGATGATGAAGATGATGATAATGATGATGATGATGATAATAATAGTACACATTTGCCACATTCATTTACTTTGTCATTTGCTACAAATGGAAACAATCCAGGAAAAATATATAAGACAAAACATTAAAAGCAGAAAATTCTGTTAACTTTGAATTGAGTAATTTAATACTTCAAAGTCCAGATTCAAGAGAATCACTCAAAAAAATCAGTGCTATAATATCAATTTAGAATTGTGTACTACTGGTAATAAACAATACCTCTTACTGAGATTAAGCAGGACATTTTTTTTTTACCTTGAAATAAATGGTTGATGTAAAGAAGAGCTGGGCTAGATGATCAAAAAGAAGTGGCTTCACCTCTAGGAATTAAAAAAAAAAGCATATTAAAGATCCTTTAAATTCATATTACATTGAATTAAATGACTCCAAGTTTTCATGATACGTACCTGAAAAACTACTAAAAGGAATCCAGCTCACAAGCTGAAGGAACTGTGACCGACAACAGAGGCCATCCCAGAGAGGAAGGCTCTTATAGAGGAATGCTTCACAGGAATAAAACCCCTCCTAAAATACAAGTCGATAGCAAACCTTACATGGAACTCTTAATCATAATTACTCTCTAGGAAACCAGCTTATTTTTGTTTTGTGCTATGGTTGTTTCACTTTAAGACAAATTTTTTTGTCATCAATATAATAAAGGTCAGACTTGGGATATACTACATTTGGTAGAGTCCTTGCCTTGCATGCATAAGGCCATGAGTTCAACCCCTAGGACCACACACACACATAAAATAAAATAAAATAAATTTTTAAAAAATTATATATATATATATATTTATAATATAAAAGTCTTAAGCACCATAAGTGCTAATAAAAAGGATGAGGTGATTAGTATTTAGATATATTACCATCTTTATCAATAGTTTTCAAGCACTATAAAATGTTATAAATTAGAAAGAAGGTAAAAACTCAAATAATGGAATATTTAAATTTATTTTTAGGTATTGATGGACTTTTGGGTTGGGGATATAACTCAGTTGGTAGAGTGGTTGCCTTGCATGCACAAGGTCCTGGGTTCAATCCCCAGCACCACCACCAAAAAAAAAAAAAAAAAAGATATTGATGGACTTTTATTTTATTCATTTACTTTTTATATGCAGTGCTAATAATCGAACCCAGTGCCTTACACATGCTAGGCAAGCACTCTACCACTGAGCTACTATTCCAGTCCCAAATAATGTAATATTTTTAAGGATAAATGAAATTTATTATTTGAGTATATACAATATAACTTGAATAGTCAATAAAATGTATACAATGTTATATAATAGGGTAAGAATTTCATTAGGGACCATAGACCAAATCCAAATTCTGAGTAGCCCCATCTGGAAAAGCCCAAGAGTCTAGGATGCTTACATTTCCACCAAAATAAAGACCCAGCATTTCCCTTTTTTCATTTGAGGCTTAAGTATTGGCATTCACGAGGACTCTATCCCAAACCTTATTTTCATGACATGAAATCTCTGGGGAATCTCATCCATATGAAAGTCAAAATGCCACCTTTATCATGAGGAGTCCTAAATTTTTATCTTTAGCCCTAATCTCATTTCTGAGCTCTTGACTTAATCTAACTGCCTACTGGATATGACCTCTTAGATATCCCAAGGCATCTCTTAAATCAAACTCATCTTTTCTTCTGAGCCTGCTCATCCTATGTTCCTTTTCTCAATGAAGACCATCCAACTTTCCCAGCAGGAAAACCAAAACTCAACCTAGATTGCTCTTTTTATCCTACCATAGTTCATACCCAATTTCAAACTAAATGGTTTCATACCCTAAGATTTACTGAACAAACTTTGAGCATCTCTTTCAAATTAGGTACCAAGTAGAACATTAGAAAAAGTTAGACATGGTTATTGCCTTCTGGGAGCTCATAATATGTGGGAAAATGGATACTAAAAATGCCATGACAGAGGTAAGAACAAGGAGAAATGGGGCATGTAAAACAAGTAGCTAATCCAGACTTGGATGATGTATGAAGGCTTTGGGATGGCAATGATATCTATAACACAGCTTACAATACAAGTCAGAGTTACCCAAGCTAAATAGACCATTTTCTGTAACATATTTGATACTCAAAAAATGTTTACTGCTATCAAGAACATAAGTAGTGACCCTATGTGATTCACTTTATCAGCTAATTCAATTAGTTGTATGCATTCAATGATATCTTCAGTTTTCTCTTGAATCATAGATAGCCTTTCCCTTTTATTTGAATAATGTAAATTCTTTCTTCAAATCCAACAGAGCAAAGATAAACATCAGTCCACCTCAGCTCTATTTACAGTGAATTTCATATTGAGCAAATGTTGCTTACAAAAGATGTCAGGTATTAAAGAAAAGTTTTTGATGGAAATCTAAATAAATTTTAGTAAAGAATGGTGGAGTGTGCAGAAAACAAGTGGAATCTTACCTGTAGGAAGCACTGTGCCCTGATGATAGTGTCCAGGAAATTGGTAAAGTCTTTTCCATGTTCAAAATTATTCACCTTATACCAAATACATTCTAGATCACAAATAGTGAACATAAGCATATGGTTGCATAATAATAAAAACCATACAAAATATAATTATCACTACTCTGAAGTGACAAATAAATGACACATTTAAAAAGTTGTCTCGGGGCTGGGGATGTGGCTCAAGCGGTAGCGCGCTCGCCTAGCATGCGTGCAGCCTGGGTTTGATCCTCAGCACCACATACAAACAAAGATGTTGTGTCCGCCGAGAACTAAAAAATAAATATTAAAAATTCTCTCTCTCTTTCTCCCACTCTCTCTTTAAAAAAAATTTTTAAAAAAATAAAAATAAAAAGTTGTCTCACATTCTAGACAACTCACACTATATAGACTGTAACAGGAATGTGGAGGTGATAATAAAATGCTCCTCAAAAACATGGCTGCTTAGGGGAAGGCTTATTATGAAAAAAAAAAAAAACAGTAAAAATCCATATATAATGAATGTGATTAGCTTTATGTCACATAGTAATCCAAGAAACTATTAATGTACAGATTAAAAGTTTGAGAATACACTAAACTTAAATTAGGGTTCACTGGATATAATCTACATGTGGTAACAATTAACTATTTGGACATCTAATATATTACATCATGTCCTTTCTAAAGAAAGCCTCTGAGTAGAAGAATTAGCCTGGAACTGACTAAAACTGACTTTAAATACTTAAAGAGTCAGAAGTTGCTTATCCTGGAAAGAAACACAGTCATTCTGGTAAACAGAAAGACTATCTCTAGAAAAATATTTCCTTTTGGAGGAATGAAATGATCAGGTTCTACTATGTCCTAGATGAAAGACTTCTCACTGCCCTTTCCTTTAATCCTATAATTAAGAAATCTTTTAATGACAAACCTGTCTTCCATATACGCTGGTGGCAAAAAAGGGATATTCTAGTTGTCAGATATGAACATTGTGGTTATCAGAAAGAATCTTTTCTATTGTAAAATAATAATTTGACATTCTAGATTATACATTAGTGTCCTCTGGTTTGTTAGTTTTATTAACCTAATATTCTCACTAGGGGCTGGGGATGTGGCTCAAGCGGTAGCGTGCTCGCCTGGCATGCATGCGGCCCAGGTTCGATCCTCAGCACCACATACAAAGATGTTGTATCCGCGGATAACTAAAAAATAAATATTAAAAATTCTCTCTCTCTCTCTCCCTCTCTCTTTAAAAAATAAAAATAAAAAAATAATATTCTCACTAATGGCAAGTTTCTGGGTATGCAAGGAAAAGGAGGCCTTGGATTGTGATGGGCATCAAAGTAGAGGCAATCAGCGAGTTCTGGTAGCCATCCAGCAGGATTTCTTTAACACCCCTACTTTCTTATTGACTTGAAATTACAACAGAAGTATTTATGGTTTGAATATATGATTACCAGAGAAACGATTACAGCCTATGAAGTCTCTTCTTGTCTAGAATTTGGCACCCTTATAAAAGAAACTCATTTGAAAACTATCTTGTTCTGTTCTTATTTATTTAATGTTTTTAAGTGTTAATTCTTACCTTCTTGTAATGTTTGACTCAACCAGTGATAGAGCCTCAATAAAATTGACTCATCTCTGACACAGTTAATATAGTGAAGTAGCAGAGAGTTGTTCAGCACTGAGCCTATCTGAGAAGGCAGCTATAAAGATAAAACAGCTAGTCAGCAGTTAGTATATAAAAAGTGGGTCATGGCAACAAGGAAATCATCATATATGGAATACACAACAAAAATAAAAGCCATGAAAGTCAAATAGAAAATGCAGATAAACATACCTCTAAGCAATGAATGTTTTGTAAGAGTTGAGGGAAGTTTTGAAGCTGTTCTAGTGGAAAGGATCTATTGTGACTGAGACAATCAGAAAGACTCATCTCTTTTTTTCCACATTCTTTAGTATAGCTACCAGAATTTAGCACAGGTATAACTGAGTGAGAATTCAATTTCTAAAGGAAAAAGATAATAGAACAATCTATCAATGAACTAAACAGACTATAAATTACAAGTATAAAATCGGTTGTTAAAGTGTTTTAATTAAAGCAGTCTGAATGTAGTTTCCATAGTATCCTGCATAAATAAAATGGATTTAAATTTAAATCTATATAATCTCCTCCAATATATGATTGGTTATTATTTGGATTTTATAAAAGAAAGGCACACAAGTCATTTGGGGTACAGATACTTACTCTTTTTAGAGGACGGACATTAGCTGAACCCAACACCAGTTTTAGAGGTTCTGGAAAAGGTTGCTGGTTTCTTAGCCTCATAGCAAGTAGAGCTGAATTCCACATATTCTCTGAATTCTTAAAATAGATCTATAATTTTGGGTGTAAAGTACAATGAAATGGGTACTGGTAAGTTGGAGAAACATAAAACTATAAAATTCTTCATTAACTGAAAGCATATTAATTATGATTTTGTTCCCACACAAATCCATTTAATGTTTTCCTAATCAAGAATCTATTAAATGCACCAAATGGAATAACACAAAATCCCTAATAAAACTTTCCCCTAATAGTACTATAACACTAGATATCTAAACAGTAAGCAATAAATATTTTAGTCCAAATCTGTAAACTTCTAAAAATAATATATTTCAATTTCCATATGACTTATTTCTCCATAATCCCTTACCTTCTTCCTTACAGGCAGAGATACAGAAATCAAAGTAGGAACAAAGAACTTATATAGTGACAACAAAGCCTGGAGATGAGGCTGCATTCCCTGAAATAAAATAAGAATTTTCCATTTTCAATTTTGTGGCCAGTAAGAAATTGAGGAAACAAGTACCAAGAAGAAGAAAAAATTAATAATAAAATTAGATTAAACAGATATTCAGATTGCAATTTTACTATGATATAACTATAGAAAGATGCTACAGAAAATAAAGGAATAAGTAACCACGTATTTGAATCAACCATCATAAAACAAACTTCTCCAACCTGAGAACTTCTATTTTATGACCTTTCTGCCTGTTCTACTTCTTCCTTGTTATTTTTCTCTCCTCTTCCTATATTTTATCTTCTTCCCTCCCTTGCCTGTCATACTTGCTAGTATAACATGGCTTATTCTCACTGGTAACATATTCAGGACTTAGTTTACTCATCTATGATTCAGACATCAAGGAGATGGGTTCTAAAAGGGAAGCCAAGGAAACAGAAGAAATATTAATATAATGCCTGATTATCATAAATCCTGGAAAACTAACTAGAAAAATCTCAAAATTGGTTTGCAAGTGTCAAGCAACTTAATATTACAAAAACAAAAAAAGTCTTAACAAACACACTAACTTTACAATGAAAGAAATCATTACTGCTAGATACCAGATATCCAGAGAAATCATACCACTAAAATGAATCCAGAAAGGTAACCACATTGTTTTAGTACATTAAAATTTATTTTAATACTGTACAAAGGCAGCAAATAGGCATTAGAAATACAGCACGGAGGGCTGGAGATGTGGCTCAGCGGTAGCGCGCTCGACTGGCATGCGTGCGGCCCCGGGTTCGATCCTCAGCACCACATACCAACAAAGATGTTGTGTCCGCCGAGAACTAAAAAATAAATATTAAAATTTCTCTCTCTCTGTCTCTCCTCTCTCACTCTCTCTTTAAAAAAAAAAAAAAAAGAAATACAGCACGGAAGCGTGTCACTTAATGATGGGGGTATATTATGAGAAGTGCATTGTTAGGTGATTTTGTCATCGGAACATCACAGAATGTACTTACACAAACCCTAAATGGTACAGTCTACTACATACAGGCTATATGATACATACCATTATATGTGCAGCTTATTGTTGAAGAAAATGTTATGAGGCATACAATTATTCCTATTTTATAAAAGCCTCATAAAATTAAGTTTATTTAAAGTCTTTTGTGTTTGTGTGTGTGGTACTGTGGATTGAACCCAAGGGTACTCTACCAGGCCTTTTTATTTTTTATTCTGAGACAGGTTTTCACTAAGTTGCCCAGGAGGGTCTCAAATTTGCAATCCTGCTACCTTTAGCCTCTTGAGTAACTGGGATTAGTGGTATGCACCACCATGCCTGGCAAAAAATTGCTTTTTAAAAATCTTTTATTTTTTTATTTAACACAAATTAATTGGGTTCAGTGTGATATTTCCATATATGCGTACAGCTTGCACTGGTCAAATCCAACCTCCCTTTATCCAACCTCTAAAATCCCTCTATTAATTTCTTTCCTTTTTTTTCTTGATACTAGGGATTGAACCCAGGGACACTTAATCACATCCCCAGCACCACCCCCCCTTTTAAAATTTTATTTAGAGACAGGGTCTCACTGAATTGCTTAGGGCCTAAGTTGCTGAGTCTCGCTTTGAACCTGTGATCCTCCTGCTCAGCCTCCCGAGCCACTAGGATTACAGGCATGCACCACCACACCCAGGAATGCAGAGATATTTTAATTAAACTTATATTTGTTTATTAAAAAGTTAACATTTAAGGGGTTGGGGATGTAGCTCAGTGGTAGAGCACTTACCTAGCACAAGCAAGGCCCTGGGTTCAATCCTCAGTACCACATAAAAATAAATAAATAAATAAATAAATAGAGGTATTGTGTCCAACTACAAATATATATGTGTATATATACATATATACATACACACATATATATATATTTTAAAAAATTAACATTTAAAAAGTAGGAGACTTTCAATTCAATATGGCATACTGAACATATGTGATTAACCCTAAGGTCCCACCAAAGCGCCATTAAGAACACAGTAAAGGAATGAAAAAGGCATAAAGCACAAGTTCAAGGAGAACAAGAGAAGAGGCAACAGTACAGGAGAGACCTGAACAAGATTTTGGAACCTAAAATAAAGATGGGCAAATAGTAAAAAGTTAGCAGAACAGATAATATAAAATTAAGGCACCAACACAAAAAGCCTCAAAGGAAGCTGATTAATATTTGTGAACTTCCAGAAAGGCTCAAGATTTTGAAGGACTAGATACCTCTGAAAAGTAGAGTTTCAAGAGGACAGAAAATAGTATCACTTGAAAGCCTACAAAAGAAGCAGTTAGTCTGGGCACAATGGCACACACCTGTAATCCCAGCGGCTCAGGAGGCTGAGACAGGAGGACTGTGAATTCAAAGACAGCCTCGGCAATGGCAAAGCACTAAGCAACTCAATGAGACCCTGTCTCTAAATAAAATACAAAAAGGGCTGGGGATGTGACTCAGTGGTTGAGTGCCCCTGAGTTCAATCCCAGGTACCAAAAAACAAAAAAAAAGAAGCAGAAGTTAGAATCCAAATTCCTTCACCATTCCGGTAAAACATTAGTGTTTCACTCCCTGAAGATGAAGCAGGACTTATATTCCAGCATATCTAAGGGAGAATACCAAGACCAACCACTCTTTGCTCCTTCCTACTGCTTAGGTCCCAAGTGCCAACAGCCAGGTTTATACCCCTATGATGGTTAATTTTATGTATCAATTTGGCTGGTTCATGAGATGCCCAGGTATTTTTGGGCGTTTCTGAGGGTGTTCTGAATGAAATTAACATTTAACTAGGAAAACTTTAAAGCAGATTGTCTTCTATAATGTAGATGGATCTTGTAATGATCAGTTGAAGGCCTGAAGAGAACAAGAAGACCAATCTCCCTGAGACACAGAAACTTTTCCAGCAGACTACTTTCAGATTTCTTTTGAACCATCAACTCTTCTGAGTTCTATAGCCGACTGTCTTTGAACTCACTGCAAACACCTGCTCTCCTGAGTCTCCAGCCTGCTGGCCTACCATATCCTACTGATTTTGGACATGCAATCCTCCATAACCATAGGAGTCAATTCCTTATAACACACCCCCACCCACACACACCCCACCCCCACCCCACACATACCCTATTGGTTCTCTTTCTCTGGAGAACCCTAGAACCCCCAAGCAGGAAACAGGATAATATCTCTCTGGGAAAATTGGCACAATCATCAGGGAGGCTCCCCCATGAGACATCAAGATGCTACAATGAAAAAGTCCTGCTCATGCACAGAAGTTTTCAATCACCATTTTAGTGCTACTATTAAATATAAACAAATAAGCTTTACCAAGTATTTGAGAAAAACCCACTATGATGAAAGTCAGACCAAATAAGAACTATGAGGAGGGCTGGGGTTGTGGCACAGTGGTAGAGTGCTCGCCTGGCATGTGCGAGGACCTGGGTTCAATCCTCAGCACCACATAAAAATAAATAAAGATATTTGTGTCCAACTATAACTAAAAAACAATTTAAAAAAAAGAACTACAAGGAAACAGAAACAGAGCTGACATCAGATATAGTGGTGCACACCTATAATTCCAACTGCTTGGGAAGCTGAGGCAGGAAGATCACCATTTGAAGACAGCCTCAACATCTTAGTGAGACCCCATCTCAAAATAAAATTAAAAAGCACAGAGGACATCACCTAGTGGTAGTGTCCCTGATCTTAACAGGGGGGAAAAAGAAAGAAAACTGGAAACAGGGGGGAAAAAAAGCACATCCCAAAGTGCATACACAAAGAATCATGCCTTGGTTGAGGGAAAATCCCAGAAACTACCCTCATCAACCCTTACGATGAAATCTAATACCCCTTCTTATTCCAAAGATCACTTTCAACACAGCCCAGTATATGTGGGAGAATAACATGCCTGCTCTACTTCCCACCATTAATGCCTATCATCAGAAAGGCAATTACTGTTTTTGTTTCCTTTCATATATTGGGAGATATGGGGCATGGATGGGAATAGACAGGATACAAGTCTTGGCTGGTATCAGAAATTCACGTTAATTATTTGCTCATGTAACCTGTTACTATTACAAGCAGGGTAGGTTACACATGAGAATATATATGTCTTCTCAATTTGATATTTGGACTTGCCCAAGTTAATAAAAAAACTAAAACAATGTTATAAATACATCTTCATAAATGGGTATTATTCAATAATGGAAATAATTTAGCAGTGTACTAGATTAAATATTAATAATGAAACCATACATTTAATATCTGGGGTCAAAATTTTTAGACAATCATCTACTAAATCTTTTTTTTTTGGGGGGGGCGGGGGTGAGGGCACTAACTGAGGATTGAACTGGGGGGCATTTGACCACTGAGCCACATCCCCAACCTTAGTTTGTATTTTATTTAGAGACATGGTCTCACTGAGTTGCTTAGTGCTCTCATCATAACTGAGGCTGGCTTTTTTTTTTAGATATTGATGGACCTTTATTTTATTCATTTATTTACATGTGGTGCTCAGAATCAAACCAAGTGCCTCACACATACTAGGCAAGTACTCTACCACTGAGCCACAACCCCAGCCCACTGAGGCTGGCTTTGACCTCATGATCTTCCTGTCTCAGGCTCCTGAGCCACTGGGATTACAGACATGCACCACCACGCCCAGCTACTAAATCATTTTTTACCTTGAATATACACTGTGTTTCAGTTATACAAATCAACAAGAACTTACACTATGGTAAGAATTTTCTTATTCCATTGAAATATTTTGCTGTAGCATGGGAAAATATACGTTTTTTTCACAATTTCTACCAATATGAAATAAAATTCAACTTGGATAAAAATATTATCATTAATAGCCTAACAGAACTAAGAGAAGATATTGTACCCATGGAACCAAAACAGGAGGCTATAAAACGAGATCAATCATTGAACTGTATGTACTATAAGGAAACCTCATATTGGAGAAACATAGGTGTATTCTGTGTGTTTTTCACTCAATGTGAATGCCTTTAGATAGGCCATAACAACTTCAATTAGGCATGAACACTACTCCAAGGCTTCAGAGATCTCTGTTACTGGACAGGTATAGTGGAAATAACAATGCAACAGAGCTATAAGGACAAGAGATAATGGTTAGAAAATATATTACAGTTTAAGTATCTAGTAGAAAATGCCTTGAAATGGTTTTCTAGAAATATCCACAAAAATTATAAATTCACTTTGGCTACTCCCTAATACTTAGTATTCTAGCCCTAACAACCCACTTCCATAAAAGTATGTTTTGTTGTTTGACATCTACATATCTTTATCTTTACTCCCTCTAGCAAATGTATCCTTCTCTCCATTCTTTGCCTATTTAAATCCTATTCATCCCATTAAATTTCATTCAACCATCACCTCTCCTCCTTGATCCCAGTCTGATTCTGCTTCTTGCTTGCTTTATTTATTTGTTTGTTTATTGTGATGTTGGGAAATCAAACCCAGGGCTTCATGCATGCTAGGCAAGCACTCTACTACTAAGCTATACCCCCAGCCCTAACTGTGATTTTTTTGGTTGACTGAGCTCCCTAGAAAATAAGTTCTTTTAAGATAATGACGTTTGAGGGCTGGGGATGTGGCTCAAGCGGTAGCGAGCTCGCCTGGCATGCGTGCGGCCCGGGTTCGATCCTCAGCACCACATACAAACAAAGATGTTGTGTCTACCAA